TGGACGTTTCTGGATGATGGATTTGTTCAAACTGTCCAATTGCCGACAGTACACATTCGAATTGATTGTTTGGTTCCTTGGTAGGAGCTTGAAAAACATGACACCTTTAAAATCCCACCACACTGAGAGCATAACCTTCCTCTGATGAATGTCTGCTTTCCATGTTGTTTGAGGCAAATCATCACATCAGGACCAAGACTGTTTGCACACCACATTGTTGTAAAGAATCCACTTCTCATTACCAGTTATCAGTCGCTTCAAAAAAGGATTGTTTTCCTCACATTTAATGAGCATATTGCAGATATTTATACGTGCTGTCAAATGAACTCCTTTGAGTTCATGCGGAACCCAAATATCGAGCTTGCTTACATATCCCAGCTTCTTCAGGTGGTCATGAACACTTGCATGATGGATGTTCAATGTTTCTGCAATCTCTCATGTCGTGTAATGTGGGTTTGACTCCATCAATGCCTTTATTTTGTTGTCATCAACCTCAATGGGCCTCCCTGACTGAGGAGCGTCATAGAGATCAAAATCACCAGCACAGAATTTCATGAACCATTGTTGGCACTGACATTCTTATAGAGCATTGTCACCGTAAACTTTATGCAACTTTTCACAAGCTTGATGGGCATTCTTCCTTTTATGGAAGTAAACAGTAAAATATGGCGAAAATGTACAGTTTGGTCTTCCATCTTCAACTTGTAAAATTTCCAGAACTCAACCAAATTGCTCAATTTTGTTTTTTTAGAATGAAGCTAGAACTGTCAGCTGTCAAATGACATAGCAATAACATAGATGCAAATGACTCTAGTACTTCCAAAAATGAACCAATGCTATCTGTTGCAAACATGCGTCATGACTTTTCTGACAACCCAATAGATTGAAAACGGCAATTGGACTCGGAGCTGAGCTGCGCCCTCCACAACTAGATTGAAAGACAACAACTTGACCTGGATCTGATGGGTCCTAGAAAAAAACACACTGTTCCCCCAAAAAACACATTGTTCCCCAAAAAAGTTTTTTAAAAAAAGTTGAATTTTAAAAAAGAAGAAGAAAGAAAAACACTGCAGGTTAGGGAAGATCTGTGAAAGAGTAGGCTGAAAAATCACCAAAGCATGCACAGAAGTAGGATGTTTCTCTTCCCAGCAGCCAGGATAAAAAAACCCTCAAATTTATGACCAACTGGGGAGAATAACCAGAGGATATTTATTGCCTTAGTAAAGAAGCCAAGTTAGTCCAAGAGTAAAGTGAGCTCTGAATCCAACATAACAAAGCTTAAAGTAAGCCTTGAAAGGATTAGATTAATTCCAAATAATTTCATCCCAGAAAAGGCCCCCCAAAACTTAAAATAACATGACAAGACTACCACATACTAATGTAAAATTCATAACATCTAGAACCCAATAAAAAAATTTTTTTTAAATTGCTAGGAATGTATACAAGCAGGGATACATGACTCTTATCAAGGAGAAAAATCAATCAGTAGCAACAGAGTAACAAATGACACATATCAAATTAAGAATCAAAGCCATTAAAACAGCAAATATACTCCATATGCTTAAGACGAGAAAGATGAACATGATGAGGGGAAAAAAAAGGGAATTTACAAAAAAGTTCCAAACTGCAAAACTAAATATGAAAAACATCTGAAAGGAAGGATAAGGAAGGATAAACGGCATAAGACAGATTGAGACTTTAAGGCATTAACTATGATAAGTTAGAACTATAATAGAAAAAACCCACAGTGAATGAAGACTGGAAAATAATAAGCAGAGTTAACTATGACCTGTGGGATAACATCAAGTTATCTAACACATGTGCAATTAGCATTTCAGAAGAAATAAAGGAGGAAGAAAAACACATTTAAAGAAATAATGAGCAAATGTTCAAATTTTGATGAATTGTATAAACCCTCAGATTTAAGAAACTAAATGAATGCCAAGGAAAAGAAACATGAAGAAAAGTACATCAAGGCACATTATAACCAAATTGCTGAAAACCACTGATAAATAGAACATCTTAAGTAGACAGAAAAAGATACAATATGTACAGAGGAATAAGAATGAATGCCTCCTTCTGGTCAGAAATTATATGAGCCAGAAGACAATGAAGTGACAATTTTAAAGTACTGAAAGAAAGAAAAAAGTCAACCCAGAGGTCCATAGCAAATATAATACATTTTCTAACAAAAGCTGAAAGAATTTATCACCAACTGACATGTGTTACAGGAAAAGTTAAAAGAAATTCTTTAGACAGAAGAAAAATATTATCAGGTGGGAAAAGATTAATGGATTTACATGTAGAAATAAAGAGCACCATAACCTGGAAACATGAGGATCAAAATATCAGTTTGAACTCATGGGTACTTTATACTTTGGGTTATAAACCAACATTATGTTATTTTACTGCTCAAAGTGTTGCAGCTTTGGCTATTGTGAGCTCTTTAACTTCGGCTTCTCTGGTCTTTGACACACCCCCATGGTTTTTTGAGGATTTCCTTAGGTTCCTCCACACTCATCTTGTATAGTCCATGCTCTAGCCCTAGAATCAGCCATTTCTCCAAGGTACTTTGATTCCTTTCATTGGAAAACGATACCAGAAACTACTTCTAGATCTATTTAGACTTTCCATTTCTTTATAGTTTTGGATAATTATTTGTTTCTAGGAATTTGTCCATTTCATTAGGTTGTCCAATTTGTTGGTATACAATTGCTCATAGTATTCTCATAATTATTTTTATTTCTGTAGAATTGGTAGTACTGTTCCCACATTAATTTCTGATTTTATTGATTTGAGTATTCTTTTTTCTTATTCAATCTAGTTAACGATTCCAAAGTTTGTTTTCAAAGAAACAACTTTAGGTTTCATTGATTTTTTTTTTTAGTCTTGATTTTATTTCTCTTTTCTAACCTCTGTTATTTCCTTTCATCTAGGTTTAAGTTTAGTTTGTTCTTCTTTCTCTGGGTCCTTAAAGTGTAAAGTTAGGTTATTGATTTGAGATCTTCTTGTTTAATGTATGTATTTACAGCTACAAATTTCTTATTGTTACTTTCGCCACACCCTATAAGTTTTGGTATGTTATGTTTCCATTTTCATTCTCCAGGTATTTTCTAATTTTGCTTGCTATTTCTTGACTCATTGGTTAAGAGTGTGTTGTTCGTTTTCTATATTTGTGACATTTCATTTTCCCTTTTATTGACTTCTTAGTTTCATTAATTTGACTGGAAAACATAGTACATATTTCCTTAATCTTTTGAAATGTATTTAAGACATGTTTTGTAGTCTAGCCTAGAAAATGATCCATGTGCACATGAGACAAATTGTGTATTCTGCTGTAGTTTGGTGGAGTCTTCTATTTATCTGTTAGGTTTAGTTGGTTTATGGTGTTGCTCAAGTCTTATTTCCTTTATTTTTGTCTGGTTGTTCAATCCATTATTAAAAGAAAGTACTGAAGTGACTATGTATTATTGTAGAACTGTCTTATTTCTCCCTTCAACTCTGTCAATGTTTGCTTCATATATTTTGGGGCTCTGATGTTTGGTGCATA